GCTTCACGCAACACACATGTCACCTGCACTTCACGCATGTCACTCTGACCGGTCTATCAATGCTAGGATATCTGGGGTAGTTCCAGCTAAAGGAAAGAGGAATGTGGCATCTGCGTGAACCAAGTTTACCTACCTCTTATCGTCTAAGCCTACCGGCGACAATGTCTGTCATTTTAATGCCAGGCTAACCATTGATTGAACTGTGTTAGATTGTGCTATGCGTTGTATTTTATGCCAGTCAGAATATATTAGTGTACTACCGAAGCTGTCGTGCAGCCAACCATATACTGCGTTCTGCTGAGCGTTGTAATTCCGCGCAGGCTAAGCTGTAACACAAACTTTGCATAATTGTTGTTCAACCTAGAGTAACTACCTGGATTCCCATCATGTCAGTAGTGTCTATCCACATGGCGCTGTCTCCCAACCTCCTTTAACATCCTTATTTCAAAGCATTTTCCTAGTCACCTGGACCCTCCGTGCTCAATTCGACAGGATCGATATGATCCGGTCAGTGGAGTGTTACCGACGAGTAATAAGAATCCTTCCCAGTGCATTGGGACATCGTATGTACACCTAATTTTAGGCGCGATTGGGAACCGTGGAGGACGGTCCAAACTCATTTGGGTCGCATACGCAAAATGCCTCCAGTACTACAAAGGCTGAAGAACATGAGTAGTTGGTCGCCTTTACGAAAAACCTGTCAGATCATTTGGCGGAGCATTTTCCCGAGCAGTCCAGCACACCTGCTGTAAACACCTACAAAATAGATTTGTTGAATATCTCCATTCCTCCTTGATCTAGCTGTTTTATTTGGCACTGTGAGGAGCATTGAAGCGATATACAGATTGGCGGCTCTCATCCGTAGTACACACATTTCAAAAGCCCAGAGAATATTGCTCAAATATTGTTTTGTAACTGACTTTATCGCCATTGTCTAGTGAAATAGTAATGCTACATCCCACTGGTTCTCGTGAGATCCGAGTCGTTGTAATCTAGGTTGACTATCGCTCCGGTAGGTGAATTAATCACGACTACGATGTACTTCAGCATGACTTAGACAGCCTGTCTATGTGGTCTGCAGATGTCGACCTGCTAGTCAGCCCAATCGGATCCCAATTTATGAGCTTTGGGAAGGGTAATAACGGGCTAATGTACAGTCTGACTGGCCAACCGCTACATCCCACACCTTCCGTGAGGTACCTGGGGGCACTCTCACTCCGCGAGTTAGTGTGGACAGCACGAGCAAGCCATATAGAAGCGGACTGCATATGCTGTCGGCGCTCAAACGCCGCTTCTGCACTTGGTCCGATGAGATTGCCGCTCTTCTCTTCCATCATAAGACTCACCAACTGTTTGATCACCCGTGGAGAGGGGCAAAAACTGGAACATGTTTAGCATGTGGCTCACCACCAGTTTACGGGGTACATCGTAGGAAGACGAATGCAGGATATTGAGGCTGTACACTCTGTTGTATTGTCGGTTTTGAGTAGACTTCATAATGACGCTCCGGATAACATAGCTGGGTACCTTCTTTATGCTGATTACGCTTCCGCACGTGCGCGAACTTAGCGGGATTCATGGGCACCGGTAAGCTTGTAGTGCCTGATCTACGCCGGATTGCTCACTATGCTTCAAGCATCGAGTGGTGAAATATTGTAACAGTTTGCCCAAACAGTAATCGTGACGCAATCAGTCGGAATTCAAGAAATTCATAGATGCTGGTTTTGCGGATTACAGGTTTCCAGAGCGCTTCGCACCTGAATAGGATGTCGTACAGTCGAACTGCGTTAACAGCGCGCGGTAATAAATGATGTTATTCTACCTTGCAGCAACACAGATGTATACTTTCTAGCTCTCTGTTTTCAACATTCACTGTACCAGTGGAAGAAAGCAGACAAGTCCACAACCATCTAACCGACTGGTATCTCTCTACTAGTGGTGCACCCTAAGACACGGTGCTGGGGCATATATTGTTCCTAATCTGGATCCAATTGCCACGATCAACATCGCCAAAATAACGATAAATCACGACAGCAAGAGAATAGGGTTGAGTGAGAATACAATGTAAGGTAAATGGAATCAAGTGGATGCGTTAATATAAACGATATGAAATGAAAACTAACGACTATATGCAGAAAATTAACTACAAGTACGCCACTGTGCGACTGTGCCATGTGTAAAACAGTCTGCAACCACCACTATGGACCATCCCGATGCTGCCACCCACGAAGATGACATGCACCAGTCTGACCAAGTCACTCGGTAAGCTTCTTGATGCTTTCATGCCATGTCTGGACATTCGGTCTATATGCAGTCTCTCGAATTTCTGGATGCTCGCCGACGCATTCCGGCTGAGAGCGAACACAACGAGGCTCGCAGAGACCTCGGGGCAAAACTGCGTGTTTGCCAGAAGAGAGATTGCGAAGCCAGGTGGTCTCACTCCTTATCAGAGATGGAAATGGAGCTGTCCGTGGCAACCACCATAAGTTATTCTGTCTGATACGCGAAACTGGCAGAAGGAGACCTGTTAGCGAGACCATACGTGACGAAGATAGACGGCCAATGCAGTTTGCCAAAGCGCTTGAAGTGTTGAGCCAAATACTTTGAAAAGTAACTTAGTCAGTCCGAATTATCATCTTTCCATCAACTAATGATCATCCTTCTCCTTGGACCGAACATGAGATCAGACTGTTGAAGGTGAATAAAGCCGCAGGAGCCCTCTTCATATTCGGGGGACATTCTCTTGTAGATGAGCTGCACAGCTTAAATGCAGATGTGGGGGGCAAAAAACTGTCCCAGAAGACTAGATCCTCCGTTATGGTCCCAATTTTCAGAGGGCTCACGTTCCGTATGCTGCAATCGTAAAGGGATCCGTCTAATCTCATTTTCCTCTAAGATTTTTGCCTCTTCATATACTTGCTGGCACACGTGAAAGCCAGATTCGTGAAGAGCAAGCCGGGTTTCATCGACGTCGTGACTGTATTGATCACAGTTTCACATTATGTCAATCATTGGAGTATAGTTATATTTATCGGCGACCCACCGTAGTCGTGTTCCTCGGCATCAGTGGTTCCTTCTGTCCGGCTAATCGATTTGTTCACTGAGACGTTGTATTCAGGAAAGCTCTGCCAGAAAAATACGTAAACATTATCAGAGCGCTGTGCGCGCATAGTTCGGGCAGTGTGAGAGTTTATGGAAAATTATCGTTGCTCTTTAATATCCTCATCTGTGCGAGACAAAGTTGTCCGCTGTCATCTCTATTTAACTTCTCCATCGACGATATGGAGACTGCGTTCATTGGACACGACTTACTGTGCGTGGAGCTGCTCCCAGGTGATCGAATTCTTAACTTGGAGTTTGCCGACGATATTGCCTTCAGTTGTGACAACTCCCAAACGCGCTAAGTAGCATTGCACAAATTAGTATTGGCTGTCCGTCATTTCGAGCTATGCTTTGCACTGTCGAAATTCAAAGTCCTCCAATATTAGCAGGTACCCGTCCTTGCGCTGACCCTTGGTGGCGACCAGCTAGAAGTCTAGGAATTCAAGTATCTAGGCAGCTATATCAGCACCAGTGGAAGTGGAGGTGGAAGATGAGACCGCGAACCGTACAACAAAAACCTGAGGCGTTTTTGACCATTTCCTCCACCTGTAGCATCGGCGGGACATCACTCTCGCCCTGAAGAGTTTACAGTGCAGCAGTGCGTTCAACCCTCCTGTACAGTTGCGAAACCTGGCCCATCAAGTCGACAGGCATAGAGCGGCTAGTAACGTTCGATCATCGCTGCCCCTCGCAGCTTAGTTCATATCTGGTGGTAGCACTGCCTGAACAGTGAGCGTGTGCGGTGTCGTGTAATTGGCGAAGGAAGAGCGAGTGAACCGCTCAGAACCGTTATATCGCGCACCAGGCTCCGATGGCTGGGCCACGTGTTGCGCATACCAGCACACCAACTCCAGCGACGTGCGTTGTTTGTGTAACTGGGGTGTCGATGGAACAATAGGAGGGAAGGACAAGAAGAATGAAGGCCATTAGTTCGAAGTTGGCCTCGATTAAAGCTTTTCGGCCCTGTGATTGGTTCCCGAACGATTATGAACATATTTTTCTGGCTACACTAGTTGGCATGGCAAGGAGCCGCCCTCAGTGACTTTCGTGTTATGAGTTTTTTTTATCTCTTCCTCTCCAACCACCATCTCATTTCTGACGCATTATATAACTTTTTGCAGCACAATAGCGGACTGCTGTCTTTCCTGAACAGTCCATCCGTTACTGGTAGCTCAGCTGGCGTGCCTATTGCGTGTTATTTCCTTTCTTTTGTACTGCGGCGCAAGGTCTGGGGTGTTTCCCACCCCTAGGCAACGTGTATAATCGTGATAATGAAGCAGTAGTGTTGCAGTAGATCTGCTCTTAAGAATGTTCCGCTCAACGGCTAGTTGACGCGGCTGAGAATTGATCAACTGTCTCAGCTTCTGTCTCACTGCTTGATGACTTTCTTGGACCTGTGTTCCGGATGAGCTGGATAGCTACGCTGCTGATTTGTGGATCGGCATTCACTTAACCATCGGATATCCATTACATCCGTCACCAAGCTAGTGGCACTTATTCTCGTCAATCTTACCGTTATCTGTCTCATCCAACTACCATGATTTGCCTCCGCTCTCCTTTTGCTACTAATTTACGTGCACATGCGTTTTGCCTTTCAAGTTCCTGTCGGTGTAATTAATATCAATGATATCGACTACAATCCGGTGCTCGAATAGTAGGGGAACGTCCTATCTACATCGACTGTGATCGGTGTTTATGCGCTCTTCCGATTTTTACTAGAGCTACCTCGGCTGGAATTTTGTGTACACCAGTGCTGGGTTCCGATGGATCGAACGAATCCCTTTGCATGGCTAGTTGCAGATACTTGCCAATCCAATAGTATTTTGATTTGCGACGCATGTGCGCTTTGCCATCCGTAACTTAGTCTTATCTTCGCATTTTCGGTGGGGATACTGAAGGAAGTTTTCAAAAAAACTCGGGACCCAATGGACTAAAGGCCTGCCAATAGAGGTTATTCCAATGGCTTGTAAGCCTGTTCAAAAGTTCATCCAAAGACGCTTCGGAGGAGAAGTTCTGATACGTCCAGCCGTGACGAAGTTGGTGAGTCTGTTGTAACGATTAATCAGATTTCACTTACGCAATTTTTGTTGTTTACTCATTCTCTGGCCTTTGGGCCCACAACTTGAAATTTCACCGATAGCGCCGTATTCGGTAGATTCCACGGAAGCTCACCGTTCGATCATCTACATGGAAGGCGAGTAAATATGGTGCTTGATTTGGTGTACCATGCACCTAATTGGGTGAAATCAGTGAATACAATTGCTGCGTTCGGGAGGCATTTTCACTGCTCACCACTGTTGGCAATATTATTTTAACTCTACTCTCATCCCATTGACAATAATTTCATGTTCATCACTGCCCGATATCCAGCTTTCAACAAAACCACTAGCTGAGTGCACACAAGCTCAAACAAGTTCGAATATTACGGAACACGAAGAAAGAGGACCTCTATAAATCAGTCCACCTTTAAGTTACGCAGAATATTTTCGTCACAATTTCTAAGTTTTTCTTTCACAATAATTTGCCTCCTATAGATCACGCCCCTTCCTTGATTCATTGGCTAATGCCAGCACATCTTATGTACCTCGGAGACTTGTAACCATGGACACTCCACTTCCGCCTATCCATCCAATCCAAGATACGTAGCTTCCCTGTGTATTAATTTGTTCGAGGCGTCTTTTAGCTATCCACGACACTAGTGGACCGATTTTTAGGGTGTCCATTTACGTAATGTTGTACATTAGCAGTCCCCATACCGCTTGCCATGTCGAATCTTGCTCCATTTTGTATCGCGTCTTTGATTTGGTGATTCACTGACTTAATTCTCGATGGTTTTAATCCATATAAAATGCGTACGATCATTTATGGAAATGATTGTGGAGGAAATAGAAAGGTGTTGCTCGCCCGAAAACACTGATTGTGGAGGAATTGGGCTTGCGAGTATTGCGGTACTGTGCGTAGCCAAATTATTTGAACTAACATTGATAATCTCCACTTGAGTGGGTAAAATTCCGCTTTCATTCCTCTTCATTGTACGCAGTCAACCATTTCTTGTTTCATACACCTCGCGCATACCAGGCAGTTACCGTAAACAGTTCCGGAGATAGAGACAATTCATCCAACAATGAGGCATACTATCAATGTCATGCATTAACGATTACAAGCTTTAACTGTATCTTTTTAGGGGCCTCAGTTATCCGATAATGGTAACTTTCTGCTGGATTGGAAGTTCGACGCAGCAAAAGACTACGATTGGCCCCAGATGGAAATAGAATTGCTTCGCATCCCAGGTCTGTGACGTCGAATACTCATCGTATTATCAACGTTGTTTGGTTCTTATTTGTGTTGTCCTGATTTCCTATGAACTACACGCATGCCTGTTGTCGAAGTTGCTTGGTTACCAAGAAAAGCGTCCAGCATCTCAAATTGATCATGGTGTATTCCCTGTAGCCTGACATCCCAGCTTGCATAACTTCTTGCTCCAAAGCGTTTTATTCGATACACTTGAAATTATATCGGTCACCTCATCTCCGATCGTCTTGTAGTCTACTTAGGCTGTTTGACTTGTGCACACTGCGTATCTGAGCACTTCTCTTGGCCCTAGTTATAATACGAATCGTGTTGAAACCGAGTCTTCTAAAAGATGGCCCGAATCGGCCACCTGGGTAGGCATATATCTCGGAATTGTGGATCAAACATCATACAGCGGTCAGTCACAAATAAGGTGTTAGATGAACAGTGGGTTCACTTCAGTTGAACAACTATGATCCGGGCACCGAAGTGCGGTGGATCTGGTTGGCACGACTACCGTCGCCAGAACCACAACAACTAACAAGGGTTAGAAAGCGAGGCCGAACGCAAATAGAATACAACGAAACGGGAATCAGACGTGCTTTAAACTAAACAAGAGAGAATGAAAACTAAGTTGGATGCAAGAAACCGAATGAAGGAACGCCACTGACTGCGCCATGTCTGGCACAGTCTCCAACCACTGATGTGAACCATACCGTAACTCCCATTCACGAAAACAATACCTACCAAACTGACCACGTCCTATGCCACATCATCATTTGGCCACTTCGCGGTTTCACCTAACCTAAAGCACCGAAGGGGTGTAATGCAAGTCAAGAAATTCGGTCAACCGTCATACGGAGGACACAGCTCAACGTAAGTGGTTCCCATAGTCCCAATGGTGGACCTGAGCATTGCTCACCGGGTGTTCCCATCAGATGTGAGCATTACTGCGTAAACGATAAACACTGAGGACGAAAATGACTGAATTCGTCTTGTGGCCACCATTACGAATTTTAATCTGAAACTCCTGTCTCGTTACGATGAGGCTGAACTAGACAGCTAACAAGCGCAGACATCCGGAAGGCTGTGGTTGCGCATTCCGCTCTTTCAGGACTCATCAGTGGTATCAGGACGGTCAGTTGGTCTTTTTAACCATCATTTGATCCGTAGAACAACGTCCCCATCTGACTAAATTTTCCGCGCTAATTATCTGTTCTCTGATATTACTGTTCCTTATTCAAGTTCGGTGTCTTATAGCCATGTATTTGGATTGTATCAGGATTTCGATCGCTAGCACTACTGTGTAGAACGAGGCCTCGTGGGCTACTCAGCTTACTGTTTTGTCTATTCAATTTTATAGACACCATATTCTTTCAACAAATCTATTTTTGTTTGGTTTATGGCTCTGTTCCCACTAGCCAACAGTAACGAGACCGCTTGACCACATTTATGGCCTTTGCCTCTAGGGATGAGTCTCGCAGTGATTTCGCAGAAGGCCTTAACATGTACCGCTAGGTTTTAATATCCCCTGTACATTGGAAACAGTGATGATCTAATTCACCATAAACCTGGAAACCATGATATCCAAGAGAATAAGTTAGGTATCACAAAACGGTTGATGACATTCGTTAACAATCAGTATAGCGTTAGAGGAGAAGTGACATTTTTCTGTTGCTTCTCTCCAACCATCATGCTACACTGACTTCACCCCACCTCTGTTACCATCCCTATAACGACAAAGCACATTCGGACAAGGTCGAAGCTTCATAGAGGGGACGCTGTTTCCGCACTTAATCTATCGACGTGTGACCAAAACAAACATCCTAGGGGTTTCCTTTTAACTAAACGTGGCTGTCGCCTCGCCAAATCTGCTTAGGTTAATCCGATGACATCTCATTTGAAGTAAAGCGCTGCGTATTGTTGTTGTTGCTGCTTTTTTTAAGACTGCTGTTTCCCATTTGGGGTCCAGTGCAGTCGAACGCGGTGTAGATGATTCGCATCTTCTCATCAACATACCCGGACGCCGTCATTCGGATGGAGTGGACTCACATCCACATCATCCTGAATCGGTGGATAATTTGTAGTCGATTTTTCTTCTAAATGTTACCTGATGAAATTATTTATCAGGGTTATTCAGCAATTAAATCTAGCTGTGCTTTAACCCTTCTGCTATGTCCATCGAAAAAGCCACTGACGTGAAATTTGCTTATTCACCAGTAAGACGAGATTATTATTTCAAACACACAAACTGAGAACAGTCATCTTAATTCCTGCCAAATGTATTATTTCTTGATTTGCAGGCGTCGTTGAGACGGGTTTATTCGTCGATATGGCTCGCAAGGTTTACATCGGAAATCTGGATGGCTCAACAAGTATACTGGGATAACCGTGGACTCGCAAATTCGCGAACTTATTAAGTGCCTTAATTTGGTTGTTTTTATACCCTTTCCAGTTATTTGGAAACCAGATTCTGATCAATTGGACACACCCTCTATTTTGGGATCTTTCATATAACTGAGAAATGTATTTCTTGAAACAATGAAACACTACTGCTTCCTTGTCTAACGTCTTGGGTTTCCTGTAAACCATGTACAGCAAAATAGCGTTTAATAACGCAAATAGAAATCTATGCATTTGCCATCATTGACGACCCTTTACTTAGGCAACTGACTCATCGTGCGGAAACCGGCTCTTAACGTAGTGCGACGGTTTGAACGCCTTTAAAATCCAATGTGCTATGCTATATAACAATAACATTAGTTAGGGGCGAAGTCTCAATAACTTGCTTTTTGAACACTAGGAGAAGTTCGACGGCCTCTTATTGGCGATAACAGTTATAACCTCCGCTCGATTGATGTAGAGCACGAGGACCACGGGATACCTGACGGCGACACAGCACAACTGCTGTTCACTAACCTGCTGCCCCTCATCTGAGCGATGTGATGCAAACCTTTTGATGCAGGTGTGTCATCCATAACGACCCAAAAGTATGCGGATTGTTCCCGCATTTCGAAGGCCGCGTATGACCCGATTCGCAGCCAGACTTCTCCTCCCTTGCCTTGTAGATTCGAGGACTGCTGTATAAATCTGTCCATAATGAGCAGCCCGGGAGTATCACATGTCAACAAAACCGCTTCCCCCATGTACTTTCCGTCTCACTCCCCCTGCAAAAGGCCATCCCTGAATTTACAATCTTTACTTTCACTCTAATCGTCTTTCTCACTAAGAGTTTTATTGTATGTCCAACTTTACGGGGATGCCCAAAGTTCTTCCCGCGGGTTAAATGCCTTCACATCCCAACTGGCCCGCGAACTTATCATGAGATAATAAATTCAGATTTGGACTTGTTTCGTACATGTGTTATTTACGTTATTATCCTAATGTCAGGCTGAATATGGCCCGACATATGTTTACCACACAAACTGCGGTCCTCCTTGCATAAAGTTTGTACACCCCTGTTTTAGATCGATCAGAGGACAGCTCTCGCATTCACCCTACACTTTTGGACCTACAAAACAGAAAAATACGGTCTTAACGGAAGCACAACCACCCGACTAGGGTTCGAACGATGACGGCTATCTTTTTGCATGGCTAGTGATCAAGAACCGATGGTCAGGCATTTACTACGCTCAGCAATAGGACCACTGTCTCCATAGACGGTCGAGCCTCTGAAATGCCACACGGGCATTGCTGATACGCAAAGTAACTTTCTCAGTGACATGACCACACAGCTACCAAAGTAAGTGACGCGATCCACCACTTCCAGTGGCTGTTCGCTGATAGCTGGAACCGGTGGCGTATCCGTCCAATCCTGCAACAGTACTTAGCACTCTGAACGTGCATAACACATGCCAGTGTGCGACGCCGCTCATAAGCTTATCTAGCAAGAACACTAGGGAAGGTTGAATATCACACGTCTTGCATAGGTAATTTACGGTTAACACAACCGAAAGAGCTGCTGTAGGCGGGGAAGCAAATGCGTATGGCTTTGCTTTTACTGCCTAGCGACGGCAAGGCTGTATGCACTAGACAAGTCTTGCGTGGATATTGAACTTCTATACGCAAACTGAAATGGGTCATTTAAACGGGGCTGGGCTAGCATTTTTTCAAGAATAATTTTCTCCAAGACCCTTAACGCCACCGAAGTGGATGCAATACGCCGATATTTACCAGTCCCTTTTCGGTACTGACGTTATGCTGGCAATCCCTTAACCATCCTCGGTATTACCTTGTTTCAAGCGCATTTTGTATAGCTCGGCCAGAGACCGGGTTAAGGAATCGGCACACTGCTTCATGACGACGGAAGACAACTTGTCACGTCCGCATGCCTTGCCTGAGTGCAGCTCGGTTAGTTTCCTGTGCAGTGATGTGACGTTGACAAGAGGCGGTGAGTCCGTAGACTCTGAAACGATGCAGCTGATGAGTCAGAGAACGAATCATTCATAGTACAGCAGACATTACGATTGAAATTCTTCTACGTGTACATCGGAATCTGTGCTTTGACGAGTGACTCCGCTGAGCTGTTTCATCATCCGCCAAACCTCACATCTTTTGTTTCCCAGAATTGTTTGGACATAGACATCATTGAGGTAGCGAAATTCCTCTACACTAGCAGAAAGAGACTTCACTAACGCATGACCTTTGTTTTTGAAAGATCCTTCTGGAGTCTACGAAGCTGCTTTGGATGGTGTGAAGAAAAACGAGCAGCACGGATGAAGAAGGTTTCTATGGGGCAGCAGAGTTCATAGCGGAAGTTCAGATAACGTCACTTAATCACAGTATGTTGATATATCTGTATCGAAAAACAAACTGAAGTCTGTGGAAACAACTGTTTCAGGCGCGCCATGTTTGAAGGAAGGGATTGTCTCCATTTCCATCCGCGATCATTGCAGCGAGTGGCAATCTTGTGGTTTGTCCTACTGTAGATAACAGGGGTTAACTCGACTGTAGAATGATCTGGGTTTCCAAGTGGCGCCTGATTGCAGAACGAAAATTATCGATAAATACCAAATCCACGGTTGCCTCTAACCTGATTGAACATTTTACAATATTCTGTAGGCCGAGAGTAGTAAGGAATGTGGTGTTAAATTCGTAGAAATCGCCAGCAAATATGCAGAGACTGGTCGATTTTCTCAATAACAGCAGGCGTAAGGTCATCATAAAATGTCCCTCGTTTCGAGTTGGGACAACTGGGGGAGTTATAGATACTGGTCAGTAACATTGAACGGTATCCATTCAAGTGTTTTGGCTTACACTTTAGGACCCAGCAGTCAATAGGTTGTGACGAGTAGCAGAAGAGACTTCACTGACAAACACCAACAATCATTAATAAATGTTATAATACCGCTTCCACGCCTCCAGTAGGTACACGGACGATCAGGACGAAAACAAATAAAATGGTTAGTTGCAACAACGGTGTCTTCAACCTATGCGTGTAGCCACGTTGCTTGTAGAATAATGATTCCAAGTTGCGCGTATTAACGACAGTTATTAATGCTTTTAAGGCCATCCACTTTTCCTTGGAGCGAACGGACATTGACGATCAGAAAAGTAAGTACGCTGATGCTTATCAAGTTTTTCTTCCGCAGAGCAACTTTCCACCTCACACGATGTTTTTTATAGATTTATTCCGTTTTTCTGCAGATTCTTCTCACTTCATTCTTGATAGAACGATTATCGTTGTTGACTTGTGCAGAAACACATAACGGCTTCAGAACATCGCGAGTATAGGTTATTATGGTAATGATTACCAAAGAACAGTAGGTGAGTAAAACAATGGAAGTATCATCAAAAGCGTGTATCAGTGATTCCCTAAATAGGAAAAAGTGTAGAGCCCGGCCAAATTTGAGGGCCCCGCTGCTTGTTCGCGATCGTTTCGATCACCTGGCCTCGGGAGTTACGGTAGAGACTTCGGAATGGAAAGGAGTTTAGCTGACGCTCCTCATAGATAGGAAATATTACAAACTGGCTCGATCAATACAGTAGAAGGCGGCTTACACATTAAGGCAAACCACTCTAGTTGGCTGTCTGTGTGTATCTGCTCGAGCACTTGAGGAGGAGTAAATATGTGGTCGACGCAGCCACGACCAGAGCGTAGTTGCATGCGGCTGTGGGAGTCACGGTATCAAAGTGGAAACAAATTTTCTTGACCGAGCTGACGCTGATCACCATTTCACTGTTTGGCTTTCTTTAGTTAAGGTACACCGTTGTCACAATAACTGTGAGTAATGAAGCTGAACATCAATTCTGACATGAGACTCTGTGTTCCTATTCTAAATGTTGTGTTGACAATAGACAGTGACTCTAAAAGCCCCCCCCCCCCGCAGTATTGAGATGGAGCGGTTAAAGAATCTATTTAGCCGATGGTATATGTCTTATCTGGTTGACACTGTGATTCGTGACATCCACACTCCAGACAGATTTGGGTGATCATACGAATGTACAAGTTCATGGGTCTAGTATTTGGTCAACAGTTCGGTTATTCGAATAAGTTGGAGAATCCCATGTTTCCAAGGTATTTGCCTCTATCTCACAAGTCCTTACCGCCCACCAACCCTGGATTAATTTTGTGACTTATGCAAACAGGAGGTGCTACAAACAAGTTCTGGACAACAGCGATGGAGAAACGCGTAGTTACTGCGTGCACTGCTAACGCGCGTGTAAACCACTTGAGGAAACGAAAAGGTTGATGTATCCTGCTTTCTGGTGCAGCGTAAACTTCCAATCTGAAGAATGTAGCCCGCATCTCCAGCGGTCGCCGTGCTGGTGGGGCTAAGGATAGCAGATGATGAGATAAGGGGGTACTGATTCTGGAAATTTGGCGATCGAACTCTATATATCAATATCAGACCGGGTTGTTGCGCATGATCTATTCTGAATGTGAAATCCACGAGTATGTTAGTGAACTATTGAGCGCGGGGAATAATAGAGAAATCGCTGTGCCGAACTCCGTTGAATCAGCTTCGTGTATGTCCATAAGGCATGTTTCAGACACAGCACACTACGGTGCGCCAAGGGACTTTCGTACGTGTTCGCGGTCCATTCTGTGGGTGGATCATCTGAAACAAGAACAAAAATGAGAACGATGAACATTGAGTGGGTAGTGTATTGCAGGTTGCACTTTCAACGGCTGACACAATGTGTATCCGACACCCATGGTCCACCCGCATCCTCTAGCGAAAATGGTTAGTGCGTCTAGTTCGAGCGATTAACTGCGATCTGTGCACCAAGATACGTTGCACATCACCAAGATCATACATCAGGCATCATCATCATTAGCTGAACGAAACACACTTCAACTATTCTTCCGCAATAGAAAAAGATAAGGTAGATAAAATATCGAGATACTAAACATTGTTGAATACGAAAAACAGCGTGTAACATACTGCTTAGAACCATATTAACAGACATCTTTGTTGGAGGGGAAGATAATCGGGATGGGGAGGGACAAAGAAACTCACAACGCAAGCGCCATTGAGTTCGGCTCCTTGCTATATCAACTAGCGTATCCAACCAACCGTCTTCATCGTCCTTCGGACCCCAGCCCAAGAGTCGGAAGATAACAACCGATGCCAATTTCGATGTGAGGATATCCAATCCTCCTAACCAAATCATCGCTTGACCTCTCCACTTCCTCCATCTAAACCCCCGGCGCGCAAACAACACGCCCCAGGAGTCGGTGTGCTGACATGCGCAACACGTGGCCTAGCCAACGGAGCCTGGTTCGTAAAATAACGGTGCTGAGCGGTTTATTCGTTCTTCCTACATTAAATACAGGACACCGAACACGCTACATGCTCAAGCGGTGCTTCCACCAGACATCAGCTAAGCTGCAGAGCCAGCGATGATCGAACCTAGCTAGACCCTTTATGCCTGTCGACTTGATGGGCCAGGTTTCGCAACTGTACAGGAGGGTGGAACGGACGGCTGCGTAGTAATGTCCCTCAAGGTGTGATGTCCCGTCAGCACCACAGGTGGCGGAGATGGGCAAAAGCGCCGCGAGCTTTTGCTGCAAAGTTCGAGATTTCATCTTTCATTCTACTGGCGCTGATACAGCTTCCTAGATACCTGAATTTCTAGACGACTTCTTGCTGATCACCACCAAGGGTCAGCGCAGGGGTAGGTGGAGAGGGAATTAGCATTTAGACAGTGCATAGCATAGCTCAAAACGACTGCCATCCAATGCTACTTTGTCTAGTGTTATTTGGCATGTTCGGAAGCTGTTGTCGGGGTTCTCCAAGTTAAAAAGTCGATCACCTGGGAGCAGCTCCGCGTCTTGCAGGTCGTGTCCAGTGAACGCAGTCTCTATAACATCGTCGGCGGCGAAGTTAAAGGAAAGGTGAAAGTGGGCATCCATGTCTCGTGCGATGAATCCAGTTACCATGACTCATATCGCGAGAATAACAATAAATAACAACGGCAAAATAGTGGGGTTGAATGCAAATGGAATGAAAAGAAAATTGAAGCAAGAAAGAAGCGCATTGGATTAATCAGAAGAGAACGAAAATTAGCAACCAGATGCAAGAAACCGAAAGCAGGAATGCCACTGACTGCGTGACTGTGCCATGTCTGATAAGACCTCTAACCAATGGTGTGGACCATCCCGAGGTCCCCATCCATGAAGAGAGCAAGCACCAGCCTGACCAAGTCTCCCAGTCGATTTCTGCATGCCTGTATGCCACCTCATGGACTGGCCACCTCGCGGTTTCGGCCAACTTGGTGAAGCCAAGGCGTATGATGCACGCCGAAAAAGCCGGTCAAAGGCCTACGGAGGACATGGCCTAACCAAGGTAGACGATTAAGATTCAAACACTCGAGTGAGTAAGCAGACAGATTCTTGCCAAAAATCAACTGGCGGACTTCACCATTGCTCACCCGGTGTTCCCACCGGACGTGAGGAGTAATCCACAAGCACCGGTAGTCAAACACGGCCAACCGTGGCATCGAGATTCACGGTAGAGAGACTGCATAATGGAAAGGAAATTGGCCGGTACGCCCTCCGTGTATAGGCAGTGCCACAAGCAAACGCGGCTTTCAAGTCAAGGAAAACCACCATAGTCGGTCGTCTGTATGTACTCCTTGTCTTGCATATTGAAGAGCGACGACAGTTTGCAGTTAACTCTCATGGTACAATCATTGGTCATGCGAAACCCGTTCACCGCTATTCATCCGGAAAGGTTGCTGTGTAGGAGCGAGTGCACTTGAGTGCGTGCTTATTTGTGTGCCAACCTGTGTCCGCTATTGATTCGCTTCGAACTGAAAATCGTTATCGCGTTCATGTGACTCTAGTGGCAGACAGTTTTTACCTGCTCACATGCGCCGAGTGGAGTGTACCGCTTTACGCTTGTTACTAAAGTTTTCCTACTACCATATCGCTGTTCTGATTTCGCTTGGGTGTAACACCTCACTCTTCCCGAACTGCGCGCGTACGGTGCTTTGAAAATATTTACGTTTTCCGGGCGCACTTTTCCTAAGTAGACATTCCCAAAGGGCGCATAGATCAACCGAATCGAAGGCACGTTTGATGTCCAGGAATACGACTACGGCAGGTAGCAGATAAATCAATACAGCCGCGACTTCGACGAAACCCAGGTTGCTCCTCACGAATCTGTCTTTCACGGGTGCCAGTAAGTCTATGAAGAATGAGAGAGGCGAGTATCTTAGAAGTGATTGAGAGCAAATTGATCCCTTTAGGATTGGCGCGTTCGTAACATGAAGCCCATTTGAAAATTGAAACTTTAACGGGTCGACTCCAATCTACTGGGACCGTTTCCTGCTCTTCCAACTTCACAAGTAAGTTGTGCAGATAATTAACGAGAGCAGGTCCCCCGAGTATGAAGAGTTGGAATAATAATAATAAAACAGTGATAATGTATCAGTTATACACCGTAACGGCGCTTCGCTGCCGTACGACCACCATCAGTCGCACGCGGGCTGAGTATATCGCGAGGACGTCCACCCCTCCGCAAATTCGAACCCGCGCCAAAAAGTACGAGGCAAGCTCGTTACCTTAAGCCTATGGGCCGACTGAAGAGGGTTGGAAGCAGTCTGTCGGCTCACATTCAACAATCTGATCTCATGTTCGAATTTCTGCTTGTAAAGGCAGGTCCATGAGGGCGGCCCAGGGAGAAGGGCGATCACTGAGCGGTGGAGGAGCTGGTAACTAGCTGTTTAAGCTGCTTTTCAAAGTGTTCGGCCCAACGTTCCAAGCGTTTTGACAATCTGTGTATTGGTCGTCCACCCTCGTCACGTATGCTCTCACTAACATCAGGTTTCTGTCTGCCAGTTTCGCATATCAGGCGGAAGAACGTGCGAGGTTAACAAAGGCAGCGACCATTTACATTTCCGATGCACGATGAGACCACCAGGTTTCGCGGCTTTTTTTCAGGCTAGCACGCAGGTTCACCCTGAGATTTTTGCGAGTCTCATGTTTGCTCTCAGTCAGGATGTATTGTCGAGCATCCAGAATTTTCAGATACTGCCTAGTGACCCAATGTTTAGGTTGGCAATTTGATTTTCACATGAAGACATGTCTGTTACAAACGACGTCTGGTGAAAATGGGACCAGTGTTCTTCTGTTGTGACCAGAGAGCGCTTACTCAGGTAGGTTGCTTGCGTACTTTGATCCGCATTTAGAACATCGGGGTTCCCCAGTTGGCAAGTATCCATGTGCTCACAGCGTCGCCGCATGCGCCCGCCGAAGCGAACTTTAAGATCGGCACAAACTAGGTCGTGGTCCGAGTCCACGCTGGTGCTCGAAATTGAGTGACACTTTCAGACACTGCCTCTCCAGCGGTAACTGCTGGCGATGTGGTCCGTTTGCGTTCATGACTGGTGGGCACCATGTCAACCTCCGACGGGTGCTGTGACGGAAGTGATCGCGAGAAATAAACGGGCGTTTTCACACATGTGTAGCAACTGCTCACCGTTATCATTACGGGAGCCTATGTGGTATTAGTGACAATAATGAAAATGGAAAATTAATGGAGTCGTTTGGAATAGCTAAGGATCATAAATGACAGGATGAGCGCAACAGTGCCACTGATCTAATGGCAGCGCCATAACCGATCTGGAGAATCTTATCAAGGAGATGAGAGGCGTTAACTAAACTTATACATGCCTCTTCGCTGGTATTGATTGAGCACTCTGAGCTTTCACCTGAGTAGGCCAGTTTTAGGTGTGCAGTACACATCATCTAGCCGGTGCAGCGCAATAGACACTCCAAAATCTACCCTCAAACACCAGCTGACGACCTTGTCCAGCGCTGCATCCGGATGCTAACAAAACTCTAGAACAGTGGTTCTCAATCTGGGGATAATTACCCCTAAGGAGTAAATTGGAATCTTATGGGGGATATATATAAGCACGAGGATTGTGTCATCAATCCCGCCAAACAAAATTAATAACAAAGTCATCTGAAGCGAAACCATTAACTAACTACCTAATCACTAGTGAGTAGCCATCAGTGACTAGGCATTAGCAAGTGGTCAGTGAATTGGACTAGTTCCGGCAATAAATTTTATCACCTAACATACGAATACTGGCCTGCAAAGCAGTGCAGCCAGACGGCGCCTCTGTCAGCTTGTTCATCGATCGTTGTTCTCTTAAGTCCAATAGTCGCTCGCCAGGCCGAATTACATAGATAAGTGAACACTAAGATGTGAGTATAAGTCAGCCGACCAGATAAAGGTGTGAACGAATGTTTACAAAGTAAAAGAGACAAAACAGACGATTAGTGTTCACGACGTATCGATACAGAGTAGTGATGGGAAGCTATCATACAGGAATGCCATGGATTGGAGGAATGCAACAGATGATAGAAGGGACAAAACAGGACATTTGTCTTCAGGACGTATAGATATAGAGTGGTGGTGGGAAGCTGTTCTCCAGGATGGACTTGGAAGGGATGTTAGAAACAAATGAGAAACCACTGAGATCGGTTCCTCTTTGATCAGGGATCACACAACAAAGCAGGGAAGCGAATGGGCATGGAACACGATTACGATGTGCATTAGCCGAGACCAAACAAAATATACCAGAAATTGTTGGAACTACGCAA